CATCAATAACATAGATTGAGGACATTTAGTAGATTCGATTTGTACTACATATTTCGTCCTTATATTTCATTGGCATTTCGTTTATAGTAGGAAATATTATTTTTTTTAAAAAATTTATTTTTGTTTTTAAAAGAAGCTATATTTTTAAAACAAATCTTTATGTACATTTACCTATATTCACCATATTATCAATAAATTTTATGTTTATGTTTGATACGAATGTATGTGCTGATGCGGTATATAACGATTTCTATTTTTAGATTAACATTGGATCCATTGGTTTTTAAATTTATTGTATTTAACGAGATATTATAAAAGCTTTCAAGTTTAATGTAAAATCTGAAAATTTAAGTCACTATATGTCAACAATAATGAATGCGAGAGAAAATTCTTTTATTTTATTGAGAGAAAATTCTTTTATTTTATTGAAAAGAGATGGATAATCAGCAATTCGATAATCGATATTTTGAGGCTTTTAAAAGGATCTCGGAGTCGATTCTAAATTCCAACGAAAAAGTACCATCATTTAGTATAAATTAAAAAATGAGGTGAGTAATGTATCAACGTTTTACTTTACACATTCGTGCAAATAAAAAATAAAATTATTTATATTTCCCATATTTATGTTCCCCAAGATGGAGATGGTATATTTAATTCTGTTCGTTATCAATCAATTATTTCAAAATATCTTTTACTTTCATCTTTTCATTCCTTTTGCTTATATATAACATAATAACATGCTCGATTTAACAATATAAATTATATTTTTCTATTACTTAATTTATATCATTTTATCGATTTTTTTTATCTTATACATTCATACATTCAGATTGTAATGCATTTTAATTTTTTGATATTAAGTTTCTAAACATAATTTTAATGACTTAATATTATTCTTTCATTAATTACACATCTGCATCTGCCTTTATTTTTTATTCAGTCAGTAATTTGATAGCCCTGGACACCATATTATATCACAAATCAATAAAATAATTTATAATTTCTTAACTTTTTTTTTAATACAAATATGATCAAGGCCATATACATTAGTATTTTAATTAAAAAGAATTTATTTTGAATAACCAATAATGATTTATCTTTATCGATAAAACAGATATTTTGAGATTCGTCTTAAAGCTCATATATATAAATTCTTAAACTCTATTTTATATTCATGTTTTGCGCAAAATTTAATTCTTTATACTGATTACAAGAATTGCCAGTACATCTCATATTCTAGCATCGAATTAAACCACGTAATAAATGTTAAACGTTATAAATAATTACAAGAGACTTAAATTTATTGTGCAATCTGTCAATCTTCGCGGCGCGAGTAGAAAAACAAATGTCAAGTTGAACCAGGTAGGTTGATGATCGAGACGTCAGGTGTCAGTGGCTTCGATGAAAAGATCAAGAGTTTCTCGATCCTTTCTTGCGTTCTCGAAAAGTCCTTTGATTCCAGTCGATATTCACTAATTGATTACCCATCTTTCTATCATGCGCGATATCCCGTCGAGGTGCAACGGTGTGATGCGGGCGAACGGCGGCTCCGGTCGCGACGTGCGGAGGCCGCGATCGAGCGAGCGAGCCGAGCCGGCCAGCCAGCAAGCCGGAGTCGAGGATAGAGAACCAACCGACGACTCGGGAAGGCAGTGCACGCCCGGCTGCCGACACGAGCGGATGGCGTACGTTGTCGCTCGCGCCACCACCACGCTCGCCTCGT